ACTCTCTGGGAGGGAAGGAGGAAGGGAGAAAGAGAACCCTAAGATCTGGATTTGAGTCCTGGCTTTCTCATTTTCTAACTGGGTGACCTTGTGAGAGATGGAAACTAGCCTAGAGCAAATGGGACTTAGCCACAGAGAGCGAATATCTGAGGGGTGTGCCTCCTCCTGTGTTTGTCCCCATGACAATTAAGGCATGGAGGGTAACTGGCCCTGGTGGGTACCTCTGGAGTCCTGTTACTGTGCTGTCTTTCTCTTATGCCCACTTTCCTCAACAATTCAAGTGGAGGTGAGAACTGGGATGCTTTGGGGTACAGGGGAGTGGTTCCAGTGGCTCCCTATTATCTTCAGAATTTTTAAAGTCCTCTCATATTTAAAGCTTTTACGACCTGGCCTCTTCATACCCTTCCAGTCTTCCTACTCTTGACTCCTTTCCACTTACTCTAAGATCAAACTCTACTGGCCCACTTGTTGTTCTGAGAACATCGTGTTCCATCTCCTGACTCTGTTCCCTGTGTTGGGAATGCACTGCCCTCTCTTTCCTCTGCCTCCTCAGCTTCCTTCAAGGCTTAGCTCAAATCCTACTTTCTGCATGACACCTTTCCCCTTTCTCCCAAATGCTAATTCCACCTGCAGAATGCCTTCGATCTATTCTGTACACATCTTTTATGTCGTTGTTTAGTCAACTAGTCATATCCAACTCTCTGTGACCCCATTGGGGGTTTTCTTGGCAAAGACACTGGAATGATTTGACATTTCTTTCTCCAGCTCACTTTACAGATGAGGAGACTGAGGCAAACAGGATTAAGGGACTTGCCTAGGGTCACTCAGCTAGTGTCTGAGGCTGGATTTGAATTAGGGTCTTGCTGACTCCAGGGCCAACACTCTATCCACTGTTCCACCTAGCTGCCATCTTTTATGTAACTATTAATTTACACGTTGTCTCCGTCATTAGGCACTAAGCTCTTGGAGATCAGGGGTTGTTGTCTTTCTTTGTATCTTCAAACTATAGCACAATGCCAGGCATGTAGGAAGCACTCAATGCTTATTAACTGGGTGATCCCATTAACTGGTGAACCCATGACATTATACTTGGAGGCAGCATGGTACAAGGGAATGCACATTGGATTTGTGGCTTGGGGACCTCATTTCAAATGCTAGATCTTCCATGTAGTGGATGACCAATTTGGTCATCCATTCCTAGTCTCATTGCACTAATGGTAGGATGATGTTTCATAGTACTCCTGCCTCCTCCTCCATTATCATCCTCATCATCGTCATCATCGCCATCATCATCATCATCATTGTCATCCAATTTGTCTCCAGTGTAGGTTTTGAGAGCTAGCTTCAGAGTTAGGAAGACCCAGGTTCAAGGCTTGCCTCTGAAACACTCCATTCAAAGGTATGTAGAGAGTGAGGCAAAAGTAGGTGCTGTGTCGTCTTATAAGCTCCCTCCCGGTTCTGGCCTCCAGCAAACACTCTTAACTCTGAGGCACTGAGCTCTCACCAGTACTGGAGGCTGGATTCCCCTCCTCAGAATCCTCCTCTTCCTCCTCCTTGCTCCCCAACTCAATATCAGACATGCTGTAGAGCTGGCCTCCTTTTCTGGCCTATTCCATAAATTTCATATCGGGGAAGGTAGCGACGAGTTTGCACATTTTAATGTGACTGCCAAGGAGCTACAGCCAGATGCGTTGGGTTAAGAATCCATGGCAAACTGGATTTGAAATCAGTTGGCTGCACAACTGAGGGCTGGGTCCTTACAGGCAGTGGCAGATTGCTGGATTTTGGGTCACGGGACCTCAAATTGCAGTACGCCATGATGGAGCTTATTCAGAGCTCTACTCAAGGGCAGACTCAAGACTATTTGATGAGATTTCTGCTGGCAGTTCAGATACAGAGTCTGTGATCATGAACTCCTGGGCCCTCCTTTGAGCAAGGGGACCTTCACTCACCCAGGATCTTAGGTCTGGTGCTGGTGGAACCTCAGAATCTATCTAGTTTAACCTTCTTATTTTATGGATGAAGGAATCAAGGCCATGGCAGGTTAAATGATTTGTCCAAGGTCAAAGGGGCAGCAAATGGAAGAACAGGGATCTGAAACCAGGTCCTCTAATGCCAAATCCAGGGCATTTCCCCTTGAATCATGCTGCCTCCAAGTATAATGCCATGACATCACCAGCCTACAATTGGAAGGGACTTTGGGCGTTATCTAGACCAGCCCCATCAATGTATGGATTATGGAACCTAGGCCCCAGTGAGGTTAAACCATTGACCCACCGTCATCCAGATGGTCAGCACCTCCTTGAGTGGCCCCCGATTGACACGGCGCTTATCTTTTATGTATTGTTATGAGCGTGTTGCTTTACCCGTTAAAATGTGAGCTTCTCGGGGCAGGACTATGTTTGTCTGTCTGTCTTTGTATGCCTAGCCATAAGCACTGTGTTGTTGCTGAGTTGTTTCAGTCATGTCTGACTCTCCGTGATCCCGTTTGGGGTTTTCTTGGGAAAAACAATGGAGTGGTTTGCCATTTCCTTCTCCTGCTCATTTTACAGGTGAGGAAACTGAGGCAAGTAGGATGAAGTGACTTGCTTAGGGTCACACAGCTAGGAAGCGTCTGAGGCTGGATTTGAACTCAGGAAGGTGAGCCTTCTTGACTCCAGGCCTGGCACTCTGTGCACTGTGGCTGCTCCCCAGCTGCCCCTGTGCCTGGCATTAATAAATGCTGGTCGATTTGACCTGACTTAAGAAAACTAGGTTCGTAGGTTATAGCAGCTTTAAAGGCAGAGGAACCCTCAGAGGCCACCTAAACTCACCGACTGCACTGCCCATCTTGTGCTGATAAAATCACAGGCCATGATAGCCCCTCCCCCAATCCAAAGACAACAATAATCCCCGATATTTATATTGAGCTTTAACATTTGCAAAGCTCTTTTCACGCATTATTTCATCTGAGCCTCCACCAACCCTGTGGGAGGTAGTATTGTTATTATTTCTCTGGGATGAAATAGCGGAAAAAGCAAGGGATTTGGAGCCAGAGGACATAGGTTCAAATCTCACCTCTGTTACCACCTGTGCTTTGCACCGTGTCCAGTATATAGCAGGTGCTTAATAAATGTTTATTGACTGACTGACCTCGGGTAAGTTATTTAACTCTCCTGTGTTTTGGTTTCCTCCTAATCTGTAAAATGGGGGATTGGATTTAGATGGCCTTTGAGACTTCTTCTAGTTCTAAATCTATGATCTTAGCAGCTTCCTAGAGGGCAAGGTTTCATTTTTCGTTTCATTATTCTTTACATATTCCTGATGCTTGGCACAGGGTTCTAAATAAATGCTTGATGAACTGAACTGAATTGAATCCCCATTTTACAGATGAGGAAAGTAAAGGTCAGGCTAAGTTTAGCCTGGTACCTTGCTTTGTGGAAGCTCCCAATTCTGCCAACCACCAATGCCTGAGAAAGTCCTAGGCCATGGAGTTCCCACCCATGCTGTTTAAATATCGAGTCTCCTGTTGGCTTTTAAAGTGTGTCATAACCTTTCCCTTTCCTACCTTCCTAGTCTTATACCTTCCTCCCCGCTAGGAACTCTGCAATCCAGTGATCCTAGCCTCACTGCTGGTCCTCGGACAGGACACTCCATTTCCAGCCTCTGGACCTTTGCCCAGCATTGCCTGTCCCCTTACCTCTGCCTCTTAGCTTTCCTAGTTTCCTTCCTGACAGCTTAAGTGCCACCTTCAGCAGGAGGCCTTTCCCAGCTTCCTCATCCCCCTGTATCCCCCACCTCCCCATTGCTAGTATCAGAAACCACCTTGCATTTACTTTGCAGACATCTTGTATGCACCTAGCTGCTGGTGATTTTATTTTTAAAGCTATATTGTCCATTCTCTCTCCCCCTCCCCCTATTGAAATGCGAGCTCCTTGAGGGCAGGGACCATGCTTTTGCTTTTCTCTACACCTCCCTTACTTAGCTCAGTGCCTTGAACATAGCAGTTTAATAAGTATTTGGGTTCCTGATTGAATTCAGGTGATTCCCCCTTAGGGTTATGTCGGAGCCAGCTTGAACCAGTTTGGGAGAGCTTACTGTTAGATTTTCAGTGTGAACATTGACACTTCTGAAATAATTTACAAATTAAAGCTTGATTTATTGTTTTATTGATTGTCTAGGCTTTAGAAAGCGATGGAGGAAATGTGAATAATACAAATTAAAATGAAAAGTGTGTGTCTGCCGCATTTTCAGCGTTGTCCAGGATGTTGAACACTCAGCACACCCCCGTACAGTACCCCACATATTTTCCCTCCCTCCTTTTCCAAATGACTTGAGCAGAGCTATGCTTTCAAGAGTTATTGTCAAACAGGGCTCGGTTCCCCTTCTCTTCAGTTGCCTGGATGATCTCACATGTTTTCGGGGCCTTGTGCGTACTGGGTAAATCAACCCTCTCCATCCTAGGCAGCTTCAGGGAAACACCATCCATATAACAAGAGCCCAACTGCTCTGTGCCTTTCTCCCTCTCCCGCCTGCCCGCCCTGCCTCTCTCCCTCCTTACGCTTTCCATCCATTTTTGGTGACCTAGTTATCGCTAGGAGAACCAGATCTACAGCCCTTTGTGTCATGGCTGGAGTTCCGGAGGAAAGAACAGATGGAAGAAATTAGCGAGTCCGAATGCGTTTAACTGGAAAGGCATCTCTTTGCGTGCGTGGCCCAAGGGGAATGGGAAAGGACAAGGGACAAGGTAACAGAAGTGCCTCCGGAGCTCGGGCCTACCAGCATCCCACCCCACTCAGGAGTCGCTGCTTTTTAAAAAATAGCACAGAGATCTGGTTTCAGCTCCCAGGGAGAAGTAGGTCAGGAGGTGTAGACTTAGTGGGCATTTCCTTTCCACAGACTGGTCAATATCTGATCCTGAAAATATGTTTAAAAAGAATCTTTCAAAAGGGGAAGGGGGTAGCCAATAAAAAATAAAAAAAAAATAAAGAAAGCTCTTCTCTCATCTGTGTTCTCAACAGATTCGCTCCACACGCTTGCATAAGATGACTTCTCCTGGCAGCTGTTTGGATGGGAAGAGAGACAGAAAGCTCCCTTGCAGAGAGGCTGTCCCTGTCCTCTTTTGGCCCTTAGCAAGTGGCTGGCTGATTGGAGGCAAGATCATCTGGCTCTAATTCCACCCTCCCTCCCAACTCCTGGGCAAATAGTCATTTCATCACCTCCCCATCTACTTCCCCCTCCCCCTCTTTGGCATGACTCAGAGCTGAAACTTGTCACCATGCTGGGTTCTGATTTTGAGAATTACACTCCAGGATGGAGGGTATTGTGAGTGTGGGCTGTCTGCCCCCCCCTCCCCTCCATCTCTTTTCATCGAACAACAGGTGTACTCTCCGGGTGAGACCGCTGCCAGGGAAGAAATCCCAGTTATCAGTGGTGGGGTGACTTGGCTGGTGAGATATTGTGCGGCCAAGGCTGACTTCTTCTAAATCTCACAGCCTTCCTGTAGCCATTTTCTCTCTGAAGTTGAATAAATGATGAAACACCACATGCTTTTGATCCCCTATCCCAGAAAGGATGGTGGGGAAAGACTTTTCTCATGGAAATCTGTGCCATGAAGAGGTGAGGCTTTGGAGAAGGGGGAGTTTCTGCAGAGATATAACGAGGGCAGGGCAACTGGGGCATTGTCCCATAGGCCTGACATTAGAGGGCACCAAATTTAAATTCAAAGGACACTTGTAATCCTTTGGCAGTGTAGCATTTAGTGCCTAGTTGTTAAGAATAATTAATTAAAATAGGAAACTGTCAGGCTTATGTGAGAACCACCCCACTGAAGGTGGGTTTTGTTACTTGCCCCATATGTGAAAATTCCAACTTGGAGTTTTTGGTTTCTTTTCCACATTCCTCTGTTTGGCTTTTAAAGCCCTTCACAACCTCGTTCCTTCCTCCTTCCCTCCCTCCCTCCCTTCCTTCCTTCCTTTCTTCATCCCTCCCTCCCTTCCCTTTCCTTCCTTCCTTCCTTCTTTCTTTCCTTCCTCCCTCCCTCCCTTTCCCCTTCCCTTTCCTTCCTTCCTTCTTTCCTTCTTTCTTTCTTTCCTTC